CGTGCACCGCGACCTCAAGCCTGGCAACATCCTCGTGGGGGAGCACTTCCAGGTGAGGGCTGGCTGTCTTGAGAAATGGTGGCAGCACACGAGCAGGTGAAGGCAAGAAGCACGAGGGAAGCTGAACTGGTCGCAGGTAGATGAATCTTTGGCGTGAGTTGATGGAACAGTGCATCAATATATGTAAGGCACAAGGGTTCTTCAAGGCAAGTGAACAGGTGCTTGGAGAAGGAATCATCAACTAGGCTGACATAGTGGGGTTGATTGGCGGACAACCAGCCTAGCTTGGTTGCCAACACCATGTTCAATGTGGACCGACCCAGCTCATAGTTATAGGCGAACCGCCATGACAGTATTTGCTGAATGCAAACCCAAAACAGTAGGGGTAGCATGATATATAGCAGGAAGTTTCAGTGACTGGGTGGATGATGTGGAGCAACACTTAATGAACTGGGGGAGTGGAGGGAGAGGAAGTGGGGTGTGGAAGGCACAACGTGGGACGGAGGAGGTAACAGTTTTTGTACAAGGTGGTTGGTTGGACCAACCCAGCATGGGATCCTGGGTGTACTTCGTTGGACCCATCCGTGAACACCGGAAACTCTAAAGCAGCCCAGCAGAAACTATCTCGTTGGAGTAGTTAAGAGCCAAAAATGCAGGATTTGCATGTGTTCTTTAAGCATGCGACCTTGTGATTGGAAAGTGCGTGTGAAATCTTGTTTGTGTGTCGGTGTGTGTGTTGGTGTTTGTGTATCATTGGTGCTTGTGTGCACGCAGGCCAAGATAGCGGACTTTGGGTTGCTGAAGCAGCTGAGCCTTGCAGGGGGGGCGGATGACCGCACTCGAGTAGCCGGGACTCCGGGCTACGTGGACCCGGATTACAACCGCTCCCAAGTGGTGTCGGAAAAGAGTGACGTGTACAGGTGGGCACATAGATGTCTCCTTAGGTATAAAATTTGCATCGAGCAAGGCACAAGCACACTCCCACCTACATTCTCCACAGCAGCATTGATAAAGTAAAGCTCGCAGCACCCCTGCCTGTAGGCAGTGGTCTGCTGTGAAAGTATCTGGCAAGGTACTTCTGCCACCGCATGTCTGTGAGTGCACTACCACCACACTTCTGCCATCTCCGACTTCCTTACGTCAGTCACATCGTTGCAGTCCTTTTCTGGCATCTTCAACTTTCAGGAGGGCTAAGACCTCGTTGTGGTTGGAATCATGTACCTCTTCTCCTCCCTTACCCCCTCCTCCCCTTGCATCCCTCCTCCATGTGAGCAGCTTTGGCGTGGTGCTGCTGGAGCTCTTGACTGGGCAGAAGACACACGTGAAAGGAACCGACCGACATATTTGTGAATGGGTGAGTGCATGGGTGCACTCGTGAATTGAGCCTAATCTACAAGAGTGCATGAAGCCATGCTCCCCTTCCGTTTTCTCTGTAGTCCCAAGTCCCGCATGCCTCTCCTCTTGCATAACATCACGCGATCTTCTCCCTCAACAACACACCCCCTTCCACTGTCCAATCCCGGCTCTCCTCCCTCCTGCAGGCAGCCAAGAAGGTGCAGATGTACGAGTTTGGGTTGCTCAAGGACGCGGCTCTGGATGCCCCGGAAGATGCGGTAGTGGAGTTTGCCGACATCGCGCTCGACTGTGTCAAGGTGCCCGGCTCCCGCCGGCCTCTCATGAAGGACGTCGCGCGCCGCCTGCAGGCGCTCCTCACCAAGTACTGCGATGATCATGAAGTCTCGAATGTTGAATTGAGCGCGCTCACGGAGGAGAGCATCCAGGACAGGTCGAGGGGTGGTGGAAGTAGTAGTGGGGATACCTTTGGAAGGAGCGAGCTGTCAGAGGAACGAAATGCAGGGCTGGCTGCTGGGTTTTTGACTCGGGTTTTCTCCAAGAAGTGGCGTGTGTAATGGGGAGCACAAACTCTTTGGCATGGTTTGCAAGTGCCGACTTTCCATAAGCGGTTATCTCCACTGCATAAAGAAACTGTTATGCAGCTTCTATAGTGTATCGCAGTTCTGTGCCAAGACCGTTTGCTTCTTGTTGGAAATGCCTCGAAGACTTAAGCGTTTCTGAAGTGTAACACTACACTGGAGGAAAGTCATATCGGGTACGCGAGTCAACGGAGGTTACACGAGGAGGTTGGACGAAAGAACACAAAAGGGCGAAGGGACTCGAAGGGTCGCAACCGGAGGTTGCGATTGACGGTTGCGACTGCAAGGGTGGTAACCGAACCGACAATCGAGTCGTTGTGAGACTCGATAACCGTTCCTTCACCTGTATTCTACAACTGCTTCATTTCTTTTTTTTCTATATATCGTTGTATGCTTGTTTCTTTTAATCAATCACTTGCTCTCACATACTAGTGCAAGGGTTCAACTACTCAACACTTCCGCTGCTACTCAAGCGTTTTGTACAAGTGGGACTTAGTCTCTGAAAAGATCCTAAGGATGTTGACGGGAGTTTGGTCTCAGCTCAACATGGTATGAGAGCTGGTCAGAGACCAAACTCTTCTCATACCCAACATGGTATGAGAGCTGGTCACAGACCAAACTCCCGTCAACAACATCCTATCTACAGTCAGCATATCAAAAGCTTCATCGATTACAAGACATGGACAACAAAGGCAAGAATTCCTCTACGGGCTCACCTAGTGCCCAAGCCACTCAACCCGGCACTTCTGGACTTCACACCTCAGGACTACAAACCGAGACCGGCGCTGCCCAAGAAGCAACAGGAAGAGTACCAGGAATGGTGACCCCTTCACCCTCTTCAGGTGTGGACCCGAACCTTATGGAAAGGTTCTTCAGCTTCATGTCGCACTTCGACCAGGAGCAGCAGACAAGGACACCTGCGCATTCAACACAGAGCAACGGAGGAAATATGGGGTTAGCACCGATGAGCCTCGACAACTCATCATTGGGGCGGCACAACCAGGCGCCTACCTTTGCGCCTTATCACTCTTCACCAGGGACGTTCGAGTTCATGCCGCCCCGTGCTCAACCAACAACAGCTGCATCACAACAAACACCAAACGAGATATTGAGTCTCCAGGCGCAGTTTTCACATGTGATCAAACTGCAGACATCTTCACCGTTCAACGGGCACAACTTCTTTACCTGGAGCTTTGAGTTCAAGCTATTGATGGAGGCCGCGCACCTCTTGGGATACTTCAACGGTTCCCATCCATTTCCAAGCAATGGCACTGCAAAAGAGCAAGAAATCTTCACCTATCAGTCGTTGCTGGCATACACAGTTCTCCTGCGAAACCTGTCACCACAAGAGCAGCAGAGCATCAGAACGTATCGGAGATACGGAAACTCCGTGGAACTCGCCTGGCATCATCTGAAATGTCTCTATCAGACAAACGACAGTGTGACACAAAGCAGACTCATGCAGCAGTTGACAACAATACAAATGAAAACCGGGGAAAAGGCGATGCAGTATATGAGCCGCTGCCAGACACTTCGCGATAGCCTGCTTTGGTGCGGAGGCACAATCACTGAAGAAAGCTTCGTGACACTTGTTCTCGCTAGGCTCGGACCAGAATGGAGAACCACCCGCTCGCTTCTTCGTGCCCACGGACGAATTTCCGAGATGCACCTTTGCGCCGAGCTTCATGCTGAACAACAGGAGATGGACCTGTTTGAAGAAAGACAACCACGAAGCAAGCAACAACCGTTAGTCTTCTACACTCAAAGAAGAAACGACAACAACCACAATCGACGCGACAAGCATAACCGACATGATACCAGAGGTCTCACCATCGTGCCGCCGTTCTGCCACAACTGTCAGACATCCGGACACTCCAAGGTCCACTGCACACGCCCTCGAGTTTATCGTCCAGCAGATTCGCAAGTCGCCTCCACTCAAGAGAGTCCGCCAAGCCGTTCCTCTACACCTGCACAAGGCGCACCGAATATCATTAATTGCATGGTACGCATCGACAACTGCACACCCGGGTCACCACCCACTTACGCTCCTGACGAAGAAGAAATGCCGCCACCGCGCTCACAAGACCTTCAGGTCAACCCCACGTATGCTTCAGTCGCCAACGCCAAACCCACCGAGCGAAACACCTGGCTTCTGGACAGTTGCTGCGGTCAACACATGTGTTCCTCGGGGCGCTTCATGCAACAAGAACGACGCCTCAACCCCGACGTCATCATCACCGTCGCCAACAATGAAAACCTGAAGACAAATAGACAAGGAGTCGTTCAGCTTCAGTCAAACGTCATACTGCAACTCAACAAAGTTCTCATCGTCGACAATCTGGGATACAATTTACTAAGCGTCAGCCAGTTAATGGCGAAAGGAATTCACCTGGAATGCGACTCGGACGCCAACGAGTTTCGTCTTTATCACGGGAAGGGCAGCCTCTTCATCGGTCGCGCTCTCCTGAAGGCGGGCGCCTTCGTGCTGGACTTCGTCCCCGACCGCGGTATTGCTGACAGCGACGGCATCGTGTCGTTCGCCGCCTGGACGCACTCGCCCGATCTTGACCCCGACTTTAGTCCAGGCGGGTTCTGGTACTCCAACACCATCCCTGCAGCAGAGAGAACATGAGCATTAGCAGTCATTCGACAAGAACGACAAGTACCAGCAAGTATCCCTTCCTGGACATCACCTGTAGTAGCAGCAGCAGGACCCAGCCGTGCACCATCACTAGCAATCCGAGGACCACCAACCGAAGCAGATCAGCTCATGCCCAGCACCCGAGGAGTCTGCCGCAGTCCCGCAACGGTCGTCGCGTTCTTCTCCAATGCCGACCTGTACCAGCGCTCTCCCGGCCATCGCGCTCCCGACGACATCTGGCATCAACGACTTGGGCACCCTGCAAACAGCACTATTGTTCAAACCATACAAGCCGGAGTATTAGAAAAGGACGCTCTCCTCACAACAAGTGGCCAGGAGCTTCGACGACCTCGCGCACGATGCTTCAGGTGCCCCAAAGCTGATCTTCCCCATCAACCTTTCCCCTCGCACCACAATCCAAGCGCACCTACATACGCACCAATGGAAAAAATTTATAGCGACATCTTGAACATGCCTCGAGACGACAGTGAAGCCGAGTACAACTACGTCATCACGTTCATCGACGCAGCTACACGATACGTCTGGCACTTCAACCTCAAGACTCGTGACCAAGCGTTCGAAGCCTTCACGCCGTGGCTCCCCATCGCTGAACGAGAATCTGGCTCCCAACTCAAGAGCTTCCAGTCAGACGGGGCACTGGAGTATCAGTCACAAAGGTTCAAGAGCTACTTGGCAGAAAGAGGCATCAAACGCTTGGTGTCCCTGCCCTACACCCACCAGCAGCAAGGGGTCGCAAAGAGGATGAACCACACCTTGCAGACGACGATGCGGAAGCTGCTCCTAGGGATGAGACTGCCCAACACCCTTTGGCCTGACGCGATGACACATGCAGTCCACCTCCACAACTTGCTGTCCTCGTCATCACTTCCCAACAGCGCTTCACCACACCTACTGTGGACAGGAAAACTGGGCAACATGGTACAGTACCGACCCCACACAGCCCGAGCAGGACGATTTTCTCAACGAGCACAGTGGGGACTACACCTCGGCATCACAAAACATTTTCACGCGTGGAAACTTCTCGACATCCAGGAATAAACCACCGTGGCCTCACGTGATGTGATTTTCTACGAGAGACTGACGCTGCAGCATTACCTGGACAACATCGCCAACACCGCAGACCCCACCGACGGCTTCGAAGTAACAACCTCGACACCTTCTACCACTTTGCTGACCAGGGCTACACTATACCTCAAACGGTTGACACAAATGTCTCTGAACGCATCGGACCGAATTTCTTACCTGATCCTAAAGATGGCGACGAAGCAGCTTATCCCGGGAATGAAAATTCCCCTCGACACACACCCACGGGCCTGCAGATACTTGGACTATGGGTCGCCGTCTAGAGCCCGCCGCCGCCGTCACCGCTCTGGGGGGGGAACACAAGGCGAAATGGAAGGAAGCAATGGAAAAGGAACTAAAGGCCATGCAAGACCGAAACACATGGAAACTAGTCCCTGCAACAAAGACCAACGGGCGGAATGTGCTCTCGGGGAAGTGGGTGTACCGAATGAAGACTAACGCGGATGGCTCCATCGACCGCTTCAAAGCTCGCAGGGTCGTACGTGGATTCGATCAGCGATACGGAACCGACTACACGAAGACATTCGCCCCAGTCTCCCTCAGCCTAGGCGTCGTCCCAACATGCCTCGTGTTAACCGTGATGCCGCACCTCCCTCCCCTAGAAACCGCAGGACAAGGTGCAAAAGAGTCTCACGCACGGCGGCCGAGAAGCTCTTCTGGTTGGGCAAGCTTGACGACGACCCTAAGCTATCCAACCGCAAGCTCGCAAGGATGGCGGAGGTCCAGCCCTGTCACATTCGCGAGTGGAAGAAAAACAAGGCGAAACTGGCGGCGGCTGCTGGCTGCCGGCGTCGTCTCGTCGGCTCAGGGCACAAGGCCAAGTTTCCTGACATGGAGCGTGAGCTGTACAAGCGCTTCCTCTCCCATCGCGCGTGTGGCTTGGCGGTCTCCAACTGCCTGCAGAAGTGGAGTCGGAAGTACATGAAGAAGCGGCACCCTAGAGTCGACTGGCGAGCATCGTCGCGATGGACCTTCCGCTTCCGCACGCGCTGGGGTTTGACGAGGCGTGTGAAGACCAAGATGGGACAACGCCTCACAACCGGTTAGTTTCAATTGCTCCGAGTGTTTCCACGCCGTCTTTCCTCGCGAATTCGATATGTACTCTTGTGTGTTGTTCCCTGTCTGCATGCTTATTGTGCTTGGTTTTTTTGCTTGCAGATTGCGAGGCAAAAGTGGAGAAGTTTTGGGAGTTTGTGCGTCAGATGCGGAAACTGAACTGCTACCCCGGCGAGTTGATAATCAATGCCGACCAAACACCTCTGTTTCTGGAGATGCAGCAGGAGACGATGCTAGAGGTCCGCGGCTCAAGGACGGTGCACGTGCGCACCACCGGCTACGAGAAAGAACGGCTGACTGTCATGCTGGCGGTCACTGCTGCTGGACAGAAGCTGAAGCCGTATGTCATATTCAAGCGAAAGACCGTGCCCAATATCCGAGTCCCCCCTGGTGAGTTCAAATCTTGTTGTTTGATTCATTCTGTTTATCTTAATC